GACCTAAATGACAAGTCTTTCTAAAGAAAGAAGTCAGAATTACCAAGCTTTGTTGAGGCTCCACCATGGTGATATAGGCAGGAGGATGCAAGAATGATACTAGAACAATATGGATGGCCCTGTTTTTGGTTCTGGATTAACCTGAACACACTGAGCATGCCTGTGGGTGTGACCATGATCTTGGCTGACTGGAATCCTGGGAAGAGGGCATCATGGCATGACAAGATCCTATGTGTGTTCCAGGAGGAGTCCGTGTGTGTGTGTCATGATTTACTTCATTTCTCTCTTGAAGTACATTAATAAAACAACAAAAACTTTTGAGTTCTTTAGGTGAAAGAATAGGTACTTTAGAACCAGGCAGAATGAAAGGTCTGCTTTGCAATACTCTAAGCCACCTACCCAAAATCTAGGATTTCAGTTATCTAGGGTAAACGTAAAAAGGAGAATTTTGTGGCTCCCCTTGTAAAGGGCTGAACACTGTTCTTTGAAGTGGATATTGGCAAGGCTTTCCATATACCTCTACTGACTTCTGCAGGCTTAGGGTAGAGGATTCACTGGTGAAATGAACTACTCCCAGAATTTCTGAGGAAGCCTTCAACTTAAAATCCTTCCACTCAGACAACACAAGAGAGGAGACTTGCCCCAAGCCTAAGGACAACAGTATATAAACTTGTCTTTCTCTGCCAATTGCCATTTTATTCAAAATCTGGTTAAAACTACTTGGTCAGAGTATGTATGTACTGACTATATTAACTATAACAAGCACTGTCTAATTGTTTACCAGAAAAATTGTATCATTTCCCAATATCACTCTAATTGTCCTTAGGATTCCTGTTTTCCTACATTTATCCCTACAATAGGATAGAGTAATGGAAAAGGGGTTGCAGCATGACCACATACCATTTGGGGATACTTTCTCCCTCTTTCTGTCTCCTGCTGCCAAGTACGCATGCCCTCTGGTTTATTAAAAAAAGAAAAAAGATAAAAGCCAGCCCAGCCTGGTGGTTACATGAGCCAGATCTCACACAGCCAAAGGTGCCATTCAAGTACTGGACCCAGCAGCTTGAGAAACATACCAGACATGTGTGCATGTATGCCCAAAATCCCAAAAAGGAAGTAATAACTTAAAAGGGTTTGTGGAGTGATCATTCCCGGATGAGGGATGAGTTCTCTTTTTTCCTCTCTTTGTATACTCCTCTCTACCTCTCTCCACATACTCTCTGGAAAATTTTTAAAAATAGAGAAAAATCAGGGCCAGCAGGTGGCATGGTGGTTAAGGCGCTGGACTCCCACATGACTGACTGTGGTTCGAGTCCCAGACCTGGTGGCTTGCTTTTTCATTCTCCCTCTATCTCTCTCTCTTTCTCTGGTGAGCTCATGTACCCTACAGCAAATTTAAGAAAAATAATAATAAATAAATAATTCTTAAAAATAATAGAGAAAAATGAACTCCAAATGAATTAAAGACACAAATATAAAACCTGAAACTATGACGTTACAACAAGAAAATCTAGAGGGAGCACTTCAGGACACTAGTACAGGTAATGAGTTCATGAATAAAACCTTAAAAACGCAAGCAACAAAGCAAAAACAGAAAAATGGAACTGCATCAAACTAGAAAGCAAACAATCAAAAGAGTGAAAAGATAACCTGCAGAATGGTAGAAAATATTTGTGTAACAACCATCTGATAAGTATTAATAACCAAAATATTTGAGATTCTACTCAATGGCAAGAAAACAAACAACACAATTAATAAATGGGCAAATGACCTAAATAAACAGTTCTCAAAAGAAGATATAAAATGGCCAATAAACATGAAAAAATGTTCAACATCACTAATAATTACAGAGATGCAGATTAAAACTACAATGACATTATCATCTCATCCCAGTTAGGGGAAAAAAGTATGTGAGGATGTAGAAAAGGGTCAGTCATTTAAACTTTTGGTGAGAATGTAAATTAGTAGTCATGGAAAACAGTATGAAGGTTCCTTGAAAAACTATGAACAGAACTTCTGTATGACCCAATAATCCTACTAGTAATGTGTGTGTGTGTGTGTATACATATGTGTGCATTATGTTAAATGAAATAAGCCTCATTATAAAGTAAAGTAAATCAGTATGTTACAAAGATATCTGCACCCAAATGTTGACTGCAGCACTACTCACAATAGCCAAGATATGGTAGCAATCTAAGTGTTCAACTGACAAAATGATAAAGAAAATGTAGTCTACATATACAATGGAAAACTAGCTATTAAAAAGAATGAAATGCTGTCTTTTGATGTTCAGTGGGAAGCCTGGAAGACATCATTATGTTAAATGAAATAAGCCAGAAACTGAAAGAAAACACCACGTATTCTACCTCATACGAGGAAATTAAAACATAAACTTAAACAAAACAAAACAAAGGCCTCATAGAGCAAGAGGGATGAAGAATAGAGGCTGGGAAAGACGGGATAGGGATGAAAACAGGGATATTGATTAATGAAAAAAGAATTGCTTAAAGAGAGAGGGAACAGTTTCTAGTGTTATAAAATACATAAGGAATGTATTAATAGATGGCAACAACTTTCTATGTATCTGTATTATTAGATAGGACAACTTACTGTGAATCTCCAAGTAACTAAGAGATGATTTTGTTTTTTTGGAGAAGTTTTTGCTATAGGGCGCGTGCGCTCGCCAGACAGACAGAGAGAGACATAGAGACAGAAAGCGAGAAATCACCCCCCAGGGGGGATGGTCACGCCACAATCCCTTCTCCTCTCAGGATCTTGGGCACGTATGCACACGTGCCCAGTGTGAGTTTTAAGCCACCAGGTCCGGGACACGAACCACGGTTGACTACGCTAACTGCTGGTTCCCCCACTAAGAGATGATTTTGAATGATCCCAACACACATGACAAATGGCTGATAATGGATATGCTAATCATCCTGAATGAATCAATACACA